AAGAATCCCTCTTTTAAACTTAAAAGGATCCTTATGGCACTTATTTTAGACGAATACCTATTGTAAAAGTGAAATGTTCTGAAGAATACAATTTTTCGGTGCGTCTTTCGCGGAGCGATGTCCGCACGCGTTGTCGCGAACGTCGTAAAAAAGGGAAGTGAAGGGGTTGGGCTCGGAGGGAGAGACATAATGAGAGCCCACGACCGAGAACACCATAGTGCGCACACCTCGGAATCCGAATAATTGATAGTTGCGCCTCGTTCCCCGCCAGCGCCTCTGTCACGGATGCTATCAAATGATACGGAGGAGTGAATCGAACAGCTAGAAACTAACACTCGGGATATACAGACGGGAGTTCATCAACATTTTCTTTTCCTTTTCCCTCTACGAATTTTTACATTACTTCTACCACGTTAAATTTCGCAATCTTTGAAGTTGCAAAAAAAATAAAGAGAAAATTGCCTAAACATTTATCAATTTCTTGCAATTCAAATAATCAGCGTTTTGTTATATTATTATAATATTAAACATCATATCGGCGTAATATTTCATACTAATGTGATAATAAATTATTGACATCCTCAATCTGCTGCGATGTCCCCTGCGTGATACTACATATTTACTCAAGGTTTATTTATGCGCAACAACTTTAATATTTGCACGAACAGTCATTTTTATCTTGTAATTGAAAAATGCTGACAATAATATATGTTGTGGGAATGTCGATATGAAAATTCTTCGCCTCGCGTCGCGATAAAACTTTTCGACTTATCGCAGTTTTTCCATAAATGCCCGCAGCGGGAAACAACGGGTTGCGATACACGAGTAAAGATGGAATTGTAATTATCCACGATTCGTTTATAAATATTCATATCCGAGAAATTATTCACGACATCGTCCTGTGGGACCTATGCCCTTCGTCGTTAGGTAAATTGCTTTGCTTGTTCGCACATGTGAGAAAATCGACTGCGCATAATGTATACATTATGTCAGGAAGATGATAGCTGCCTCTACCCAAGCTATATATACTTCAGAAATATAGTTATACTCGCAACTCTGGAGAATGCCAAAACTCATTGTGTTACTTCTTTAATCTAAACATGTACATACAATACAATAAATAGATATTACGTCTTGACCTAAATATTGTTATTAAAAAAGAAAAATTCAATCAAAATTTTAACCAATATTTTAAGTTGAATCCAAATATTTGTAGTCAATAAAAACGATAAAAACTGTTACGTTGTATACAAATATTATATTTGTAGCTTAAAGTGTAAATTCATTTTAAAAAAACAAAAATTTTAAATCTATTATAGAGTGCTATTACACGGCACCCTAATCGGGTTTAATAACATCTGTAGTTATAAAACTGGCCAATCACAGCTATTCCTCAGAAGAATGGAATGACTGTGATTGGCCAGCCCCTTAACTACACCTCTGTGAACCTGGCACGCGACTTTTCGAAACAAAATTTTTTAATAACGGAAATGGTAGCCCTTCGTAGTTGATTGTAGTAAAAGAAATTTGGTTTGTAATTTCATGGTTTACGTTTACAAAATATAAAAATTTAAAAAATGACCAACACCCGACATAAAGGTTTCGCAAATCAGCTTATTTGAGTTTCTTTAGAATCGTTTGTAGTTGATTGTAGTGAATTTCTTTTCGTTTGTAGTAGAACGGTTTAAAAGTTACAGCATTTTACAACATTGCAAAATCGGTAACTTGGACTCCTGACGGGGTGCATCAAATCCGCTTGCGAGATTCTTTCGAATCGTTTGTAGTTGCTTGTAGTAAATTTCTTTTCGTATGTATGTAAGAAAAACATGGGATAAACTATTGCCACACCCTTCGACTATTAGACAATAGTATCGTGTTATTGATGGATCGCCTGGCATCACAAAAGAAGCTTTACAAGCATTACGATCTCAAGATTCAAAAGCTGTTGTTGTTAATTTGGTTCTAGATGAAATGTCTATAAGAGAACAAATTATTTACGACAAAGAAAGATTTCATGGCGGTGTGGATTACGGCACATCAAAAAATTTTCACAGTAATAATATTCTTCCAGCTAAATCCGCTTTAATGTTTATGGCCGTGTCATTAAATGATCATTGGAAAGTTCCTATTGGATATTTTTTAATTAATAGTTTGAACAGTATTGAACGAGCAAATATATTAACACTTGCATTACAAAAATTACATAACACTAAATGCAAGGTTTACTCAATAACGTTTGATGGCGCTTCTACAAATTTACACATGTGTACACTTTTAGGTGCAAATTTTCACTATTGATCTAACTTTAAGCCTTATTTTACTAATCCAATAACAAAAGAAGAATGTTTCGTTTTTTCATATTATTGTCACATGATTAAATTAGTTCGTAACACATTAGGAGAGAAAAAAATATTAAAAACTCAAGATGGGCACATAATTGCATGGAATCACATTAAAAAATTGCACGAATTTCAACAGGAAGAGGGTTTAAGAGCTGCAAATAAATTAACTAACAAACATATACATTTCCAAAATAATAGAATGAAAGTTAAATTAGCAATACTAACTCTCACTCAGTAAAACTGTTTACAAATCGTTCATTTGTTTAATGAATTTGCCCGATAAAAATATTTGTTCTAAATTTTTAGAGTGCTTTACAACAGCTAATTTTTGTTTGCAATTTAATAATATAGGGGACCTATTATAATATTATAATAATAAATTGCAAAAACAAATTTAGTAAAGATGAATTCAATACTCCCTTAACCGAAGACAATAAGTGACTATGCAAATGCATGCTGAAAACTTTGAACAATATATTACTTCATTGTGTAATGAAAATGGCACATCTATTTTAAATACTAATAGAAAAACAGGCTTTCTTGGATTGATTGTTTGTCTAAGAAACATCTTTCCGTTGTTCCAAAAGTTAAAGTCTTTGCAAATATCATATTTGTTAACATACAAATTATCACAAGATTATTTAGAAATGTTCTTTTCCTCAATAGGTTGTGGGGGATTTAATAACAATCCCAATGCATTACAATTGAAAAGTGCTTACAAACGTTTGTTAATTCGTAATGAACTTCGTGAATTTGAAAACGGCAATTGTCTATTCGATGGAATCGAAATTCTGTACGTCTCATCTCGACCTAAAAATTTAATATGTCCCATTGGAGATACTGAAAATTTAAATGAAATCGTTGCATTGGATCATCAATATGTGGCATCATTATTGGATTTGACCCCATATGTCGACAATATTACTCATTGTCAGTACATTGCTGGATTCATAAGTTATAAACTTTAACGAATAGTTCATTGTTATGTGTGTAAAAATCAATTACCTAATTGGAACTGAAATGCCACTCTGTTATCAAAATTTAAAAATGAAGGGCCTTATTTAATACCATCAAAGGATGTGTGTTCAATTTGTAGGATATCTGAGAAAATTATCAAAGAATATTCGAATCAGTTTAATAAAATCAATATAAAACGCTTTATAGTCCATGCAATTTTTTATCGAATAGGCACTGGACCTTTTTCAAATGAAATAATAGATAATCATGTATGTCTGCAAGATGTATTGGATAATCATCGAACTCAGTTGTGTAATTATATAATAGAATTAGATGTTAACACAAGGCTTTTTCACGAGGCTAATACAATTCTCGAGAAAAACCGTACAAAATTTTAGAAAAGGATGAACTTATGCATGTAGCATAAGTAGCATAAGTTCATCCTTAGCGTGTGATACAAAACTATAAATACTCCAAATAAAAATCTAGTTTCAAAAACATAATTTGTCTACTTATTTGCAATTTACTTCAAGGCCTTATTGCTATATTTTACATTTATAAAGTTTAGTTTCCAAGGAGCATTTTGAAATTTTGTTGACGTTGTTTCATTATTACTTCATATTTCAACTTAGTGATAAAGATATTAATAAATTTCAATTAATCTTAACTCTTCTATTTATTTCAATTATTTTATATTTTATTACCCTCTATTATTTTATTTATAAATTTTTTTATGGTAATACTGAAGGAGAGTCTGTCACTCGCCGTTTTAGACGAAAAGTTACAGAGCCTGGTATTTTTGCCTGTAAAACACGAATCTGCAAGTTAAAATCGTCGCTCAGCACTAATAAGTAATTGTATTTTCCTTTCTACTCCGTAACTAATATAAATGTCAGGTTAGATGGCTATGTCCAGGCATGCCATATATGTATATGTATATTTGACGCTTGCGCAAAAGTGCTAAACCAGGTTAGCTGTGCGAGCGAGAAGAACGTATCGTCTGCACCGTGATGTTTTCGCTCGATCCTCCTACAGAGTTAGCAATATAGGAGTACTATATGTATACATATATTAAAAATCCAGATTATTCGAAGAAAACTCGTTTTCACTCGACCCACATGCATCTAAACTCTCCAAAGCTATGAAATTTGGTTAAAATATGGAACATATGGAAGAAAAATGAAGAAAAATTATATTTTACAATCAAAATAAAAAAGGTTTTGTAAAGGGTTCGGGAACGCTCCCTGAAAAAGCGCCAAATCATGTGAGAGAGGAAAGTGTAGAAAGAGGAAAGGGAGAGGCGAGAGGTTTGGGGAACGTTCCTTAAAAACGCCTTGTAACCGAAAGGAAACAATAAAGCATACATACATACAATCAAAATAAAAAAATAACAAATTTTATAGTTTTACGGCCGTATTGGGTCTGCCATTTTGAATTTCGGCAATGTAAATGCATATTCGTAATTAGCGATCCCCAAAATCCCTGTATACATACAAGTTTTCACTGGAAAATTTTTTTTTCTTTTAGTCTACCACATTGGTCTGCCATTTTGAATGTTAAGTATGGAAAAAAATTTGTTTCATAATTTGATATATAATATTTTTATCTAATGTCCTGAATTTCTTAGTTTCTGACCGTCGACAGCCCATAGATTGCTGGCGGTTTATCCCATTAACTTTTAATTATACATCTGTATTGCAGATGGCCAGTATAGAGGTATCGTTGTCGACGACACCGAGGCGGAAGAAAGGCGGTAGTATTTCTGGAGGAATCCCGTCCCCCGCTGGTCATCGGAATAGAGATCATTACAAGGAATTGGATGCTCTCCGAGTGGCTTTGCGCGACAAAGAAAATGTTATACAGACGTGAGTAATTGCTTGATTACATCCTTGAGATACACGGCTGGGAAAGAGCCATTGATCATGTCCCATATTCCTCTATTATAATGATCGCGCGCAGGGGAATAACAAACGAGCAGCGGGCAATGAGCAGACTTAATTATTCTTTAAAGAAACGCAAAAACCGGATTTTCATAAATGAATACGCCCGCAATCATAAAATTCCTCCTTAGAGATAGGCTTCTTTGAATTAATTTGTTGGAACAATTTCTTCACTTTCGACCCTGGTAACCCGACCCTGATGGATCCCTATAATATGCATAAAGGAATTGTCCTAAAGGAGAGAGGCGAAGAGAAAAATATTAGGCGCCATTAACGTTCTTTTTTTTAGTCTTATTGCATGCTCTTTGTGAATATTTCATATTGTTTCCCGTACCAGAACCAAAACTTTCCAGTCTTCTCCGAAATAATACTTAAAAGCGTCTTTAATATTATATATCAATGTGCCATAATCTGTTTTGCCAAAATGTTATTTCAAAGTGATTGCGCAAACAATGATTAATGTTTCACAAAAGATCAATATTTGTACATCTAACTTTTTTAAATATATCCACAGAATTGCAGATTAGAAATTTCATGGTAGATTTCATCACACAAGTTCGATCATGGTTCATAAATGTTTTCTTATCGAGAAGACCCTTCTAAGGAGTAAATAATACGGTGTGCATGCGAAGCACTTCACGTGATAAAATTATAAGAGAGTCGAGTGAGGGATGAATTTTTTTCTGCGAAAGGTGATAATCTCAGATACTCCCAGCGAAGGAAACAGACAACTTCGGATCTCGTGCGTTTCCGAGACCGAAGCCGCAGGTAGCGAAGGTGTTTTCCTCCGAGTCACGACATTCGTGCCTCTCGTTATTTTTTCAGGCTCAAGGGCCAGCTCTGCAACACGCTGAGCGGTAGACTGGCATTACGCAACGGCGCGCCACCCTTGACCGAGGCCGACAGGAAAGCAGCCGAGGAGCGGCTTCAAAGGCTGCGACGAGACGCCGACAATAAGCGTCTGGCCATTAAGAACCTGAAGCTCGCGCTCGAGCGTCTCGATATCACGGAGTAAGTACGAGGAGATCCGCCGCGGGTTTACTCGGAGCCGCGTTTATCGTGAATCGCGATTAGCGATACCTTACGAACGTTACTGTCATAAACACAGCAGCACCGGAGAATCTACATGCAAAGTCTGCGGGACAGTGTAGACAAAAAGCCCAAGTTGTCAACGTAATTAACGCAATACGCTTTAATGGAACATTATTGCACTGCGCGTACAAGGCCGACGTATAATCACTTTATCCGATGCACAGCTGATAATTATCGAAATGGTCAGAACGGTTGATGTTGTAGTAATCGATCTAAAGTGTGTTAACTCATTAAATTTATATCTTTAGTTACTAATTAGCTTGATTAAATTCAGTAAAGATATTATTACTTTATAGATACTATTACGATAATTTCATAAAGATCGGAGAAGGAAAATATTAAATTCTTTGTCTAAAAACTTTTCTAAAAAAACTTTTCTAAAAAAAAAAAATTTTCTAATTATTTGTGGTTATAAAATCTTAGTATTTCAATTTTTACGATACGAGAAACCAAGTTTGAAATGTATTTTATAACATAATAAATTAATCTTGCGATATTGTCGAATAAAAATGATTTGTGCACGAATAAAATAAAATTTCATATTGACATTGTATAAAATAAGGAATTTATAGTAAATGAAAGTTTTCTAAATGTATTTTATTTGTGAAGAATAAGCGAGAGAATAATTAAACAAAAGGATAATTTTTCCAGCGAATATCTAACTTTCAAGAAAGCTCGATAAAAGAACTCGTTCTTATATAAAATATTAATTTAAATTTGCGCTAAGAACAATGGTCTTGGTTTTTAAACAAATAACTACTTTTTATACTGAAAGATTATCTAATAAGAGGAACAAACCGCTTATGAAAAAGTGCACGTTGAGAAACGATTGTTCAAATTATAGTTTATTTTTCCGCCACTTTTGTGCATCGACATATAGACTGAGCGTTGCACGCGACGAGCCGGAACACACGAGAGAGAGAGGGGGGAGGGAGGGAGGGGAGAGAGAGGAGAGAGAGAGAGAGAGAGAGAGAGAGAGAGAGGAGAGAGAGAGAGAGAGAGAGAGAGAGGAGGAGGAGGGAGGAGGAGGAGGAGGAGGAGGAGAGAGGAGAGGAGGAGAGAGAGAGAGAGAGAGAGAGAGAGAGAGAGAGAGAGAGAGAGAGAG